TTTCTTTTCGTTCGAATCGAGGCTCCCCGCCCCCCTTCCCCAATCCGCAGCGCCCATCGCGCCGTATCGCGTCGATCCGCCTCCTTCTGTTCATCTCCCTTTGGCACCCTTGCCGCGCACCATCTTGTGTAGAGCTTTCCCCCCCATTTCCCATTTCCACAACACGCTATCCCATTCCGTCACCTATCGACTGTCGCCTGGTGCATTTTGACATGACACGTCTGAGGATCAGGCAACACACACACCTTTCCATCAACGGCCGCATGGAGGGTGCCGTTCACCCAATCTGAGTTACCTCTGCACCGAGCTTCCCACTTCCAAGGGGCGTCGCGTTCGTCGGACCGCTGGCCTTTCCTAGGAACATTATTCCGATCAGTGCTAGGAGTAAACCGACAGGACCTACAGCGGGTGGATGCCTTTTCAGGACCTTGAGGGGCTGATCAGGGCGTCAACCACAGTTTGACATGAACTTTTTGGTTGGGAACCACCACCACCAAAGGCCAGAAAAAAAACAAAGGCCGGAGGATGGAGCCATCGAGTGGGCGTTTGGAGTTCGCAGCCCCCGTGGCGGCCCGCTTGTCCACCGCCACCTCATCTGCCCTTTTCTCTGGCGATGTTTTCACCCCTAGCTTGATTCGCAATATCGGGCGACCAGACCACAGGCATCATCACGCAACATCAAAATCGCTCCGAGTGTTCAACGATCGACTTTGATCGTCATTTATATCTCGTCCCTTGTTTTCTCAGCATGCCCTCTGTCAGCCTCGGAAAGTTTACTTTCACACGCATGAGGTGGGACTCGATCGTTGAGGGCTGCCAATGGTTCCATGCACCTTCAATGGATACTCGTCCACGTCGCATGTTCTGCCCATGTAATATCGCCGCGTCTTGATGTCTGAAGGGCATAGGTCAAATCCTCTGGAAAGCCTGGCACGATGTCTTTACCCTCGCTCATAGGCAACGGCCGAACAGCATGCGCCTTCAGGTTCACGATACGGATTCATTGTTGACCACGTGCAGTCCATCTCCTATCCCTCCCCCTCCCACACATATGTCTGGCTGTGGAGGATTTGACCTTTCGCCAGCGTTGTGTTGAAAGTGCACACGGTCGTGGCGCAGATTTCTGTCGGGGAAGTTTTCATTATTTGGGGCTTGGCCGAGCTAGCAGACGTCGCCTGTCATGCGGGGATTGGTGCTCCACGCTACGCCAGCATCCCTACACAGCGCGTCGTCGCAAAAAAAAAGCGCCCGGCATCGCTAGATTAAGAATCGTTGATGATAGCATCACCACCGCCACAGTCGCATCGAGAATTTGCCTGGGCACCCTGTCCTCGATTCACCAGTGGAAGACTTGGACAACAACAAGCCCAAGCATGGAGGCAATGTCGGGGCAGGCAGGACAAGACAATGCTCCAGTTGTTTCAGAGGTCAAACCGCCGGAACGAAAAGTGGGTCCATAACGACGACCACCTTTGACCACCTACCAGGAAACGATCTTGGCTGGTCCAGGAGACTACCACGACCTCCGTTGTTGGAGACTTGGTTTGCAAGGAGGGTCAAAGTCAGTAGATTATAAGGTACTTCGCGCATGGCTATTGATCATAGCACATCCTCCTGTCCACCAACCTTTTGGCGGTGTCGTGCTTCCACCAGGCGGGTCAATTGTCGCATGACAGCAGGCGATTGATTGATTGGGTAGATTCGAACCCCAAGCAGAGAAGGGGGCATTTGTGTTGCCTTTCAGTGCCCAACGATCAAATAGGTGGCACGGGCAACAGGAATCGCGCCTATACTTGTCTTGTCTTGATGCCCAGGAACTCGTGGTCTCTCCCCGCACACACAACACACAACATAGCCCACGCGACAACTTGAAGTATCTTGTTGGGCCGAGCAGCGTCCTGGAGCTTGGAAAAGTCAGACAGAAGGTGGGTTGTGCACTGGAGCGCCTGTCGAAGCCTCCAAACTAGGTACCTACATGGCCCAGATGCGATTCGCGTTCCTCCAATAGTTGTGTCGACAGCGCATTTGGGGCTGGGTCTCGATAAACTCGCCTGTTGCTTCTCATGTCGGTCCGTCACCACGAAGCCCTCGTTTCCTGTATAGCGCGTAAGCCCCAAGAGGCGTGCTGAAGGCCGATGCGAGACAGTGTTCCCAAAGAAGGTCGCTGCTCCAACCAATAAGGCACACATGATTAGGTGCATCTCAGTTGGCGTGCATCTGACTCTCCGCAAGTCAAGTCAGTAATAGAGTGTCGTTCGCATGGATCAGACACTGGCCTCGTCCAGTCCGGGATTCGCCTACTCTCCAGCGAGTTTGACACCAGTCGACTCCGCGTCGCTTCTAAAAATGTCGAATGGCCAAAGGGGCAGGGAATTTGCCGGGCGGCTAGCCCGGTCTCGTTTGTGCGTAGACACAGGGAAATCCAGGCCGCCGGCCGCCGGAAGGTTGGTGGCGATTAACTCGATTCCCTGCCTCTCCACTCGCCCGCCCCCAACCCTTTCCCCGCCGACCCGCGCACATAATCAACATCAACGTGATAGGGGATTAGGGGCCCGGAGGCCAGGACGCTGATGTAAGAGCGTAATTGGGATATTGGCTTACAAGTAGACTTCTCGCAAATTGTCTGTCGTTGGCCATGGTGGGGTGACCGCTCGGCGGCGCCGTTCAAACTATTGTGACAAGCGTACACGTCTAGGCCTTGACATCTCCAACTCTACCGCCTTCTTGGCCGATTGGGCTGGCCTCCGAGAGAGCTGCATGGTGTACTGATGATCGTCGCTTGATGAGATGCATTTGGAACCCTAAAGACCTCGAAAAGCAAGGTCGGCCATATCGCAAAATCAGCAATGTTGTGTCGACAGGTTCGGCGCAGCCTAGCGATGACCACGTCACGAGCGTGCTGTCCGTCAACTTTTGTTGTGAGGGCAGATGGAAACCCACACGCGAACGCTGCAGCCGCCGCCGGGGGGGGGGGGAGTTGTCAGACGGTAAGTAGCGCTGTGACGCGTTCTCCCTTCACTGTTGATGAACTGGAGTTGGGTTCAAGCCTACTGCTCCGTTGTCCATTTCCCGATGCGTTGGGCCGACCGACGGGGGGCCGGGGGGGGGGGGTTGTCATCAGTTGGGTCAGCCGTAACATGGGGCTTGTCTCGACCCGCCTGCTGAACGAGGCTCGCAGCGACGAGAGAGAGAGAGAGAGAGAGAGAGAGAGAATACATGTACACTACAGCCTGCCTGCCGAAAATGCATCGCCGAATTTGACGTCCTCCCTGCGACTTGAAGCAGGGGGTGGAAGTGGGCATGCATCGATGGAACTCATCAGCCAACCTTTTTTTCTCTCCCGCTTTCCCAGCGATGCCGCAAGAGTCATGCGTGCGATGTGTGGACGGTTGCGAGGTGTCGTCCAAAAATGCAGCCGACGGGGGTTGGGGGTCGAGGCGTGCCCCCGTCCGCCCAAGGTCAACGGGACGTTGTCAATCCCTGTCCCATGGCAGGGTACCTCGCAGGGCGGCCAGTGCCTTTGATTCGGGTTCCGGGTTTTACCACAGCTTGCGTGCCGCCCCGATCAGGACTAGCGTATTGACCACGATGGCCAAGGCTCAGCTCAGCCACACCTCACTCAAAGTCTCGTAAGCGACACTTTGTGCATCGGGTGTGCACAACGGACAAGTAAAGTAACTACCCCCCAAAAACGGTGTGCATCATGTACCGTTTCGGGATGAACATCACATAGTCAGGCGCAGCAGAACACAGAGAGTAGGAACCAATACCGCAATAGAATGAGTATTTGCGTACAGGACGCATCGCAACTACCACGGCAAAGGGGCACGGTAGGACCGTTCGCGAGCAGTCGGCACCAAGGTGGTCGTCAAGGTAGATATCCACTCTCTTTGGGAGTCATGCAATGACTTGGGTGCCCAACGCTCCTTGCGCACGATCCAAGCCGAGGCTCGGGTACATGATTCGTTCGACGCAATCAGGAGCGCCGGATCATGGCCTCACGCTCGGGACCAGTGCCAATGTACTTGATCTACGGAACGTTAGCAACTGCGGGATTGGTCAGTAGGTGCGCCCACGTACCTCGACGCCCACAAACTTCTCGATGTACTGCTAGAGGTCAGCACCATTGTTCGCTATACGAGCCCAGTTAAAGTGCCTACCTCGACGTAGTCGCGAGCCTTCTTGGGCAGATCGACGTAGGTCTTCGCGTTGGTAGTCGGTGTCTGCCACCCCGGCATCTCATGGTAAACCACCTCGGCTCGTTCCAAGATCTCAAGATCCGCAGGGTAAGAGTCCAATTCCTGTCCAGACAGTTAGTGTCACGTTCATCTAGAATGATCTCGTTGGCGTAGCTTACCTGTCCGTCGACCTTGTAAGCGATCGCGATCTTGATCGTCTCGAAAGTGTCCAAAACGTCGAGCTATGAAGTGTTAGAGAGTATTCTCGTACGTGTAGGAAGCATAACAGGCCTACCTTTGTCAGGTTCAGGCTGGTGTAGTAGTTGATGGAGTTGCTGTACTTGACAACAACAAGATCTGTTTGTCCTTGTTAGTTGCGCACCCAATCCTGTCAATCCCTGAGGTTGTTCGGGTTGTGCGTACCGAGCCTAAAGGCAGTTAGTAACTTGATCAGTAACTAAACGCCATGGATTGAAGCTCACCATCCGCATCGGCGTCTGCGGCCAGTCGACGTGCCCTATGTCTTGTCAGCGGTGGAAGGTCGAATCCTCTGGGGTGCATATAGCCTCACCCATTCGCGTCCAATCTCCTGAAGCTTGTTGCCAACCCTAAAGTTTTCAATTAGTCTACAATGACTTTGGGAACGTGATGAAGACATACTCTTCCGTATCTTCAGTCTTGAAGGCGCCCCAACCGACACGGGTAGTGTCTGTTGCTAGTCAGCAAGGGAAAAGAGCCGGAGAGCTATCAACCTACAAGCCTTGACGACTCCGACCGTCTCTGTAATGTTCTTCGGGTTCAGGGTAAGTCCACCAATGATGCCAGCAAGCGTGGTACTTGACGAAGTAACGAACTGTCATTGAGTATAAGCATCGGTGCAAAACGCGCAACGCAGTTATCGCAGACTTACTGGGTACGAGCCATAATCGACGTCGAGCATGAGTGCCTATTGACGTAAGCACTGTTCGTGTAGCGCTGGGCGCGAGAACATTACGTTTGCGCCTTCGACCACAATCTTGGTGTCGCTCTGTTGCGCGGATGTCATGAAGGCCACGCCGTCCACGACGTATTTCCTCATCGTCTCCCTGTATTCTTCAAAACGAGCAAGCTCGGCTTTGATGTCGTACTTGAATAGATCTCCAAAGCGCTTTTGGTAACCATCAGCGAGGCGCTGTACCTTCTTCTCGAAAAGTTCAGGATGGAAGATGTCAGTTAGTTTGATGCCGTTACGCTGAGAAAATTAGCGCACGCTGCGATCGCTCGTCAAGCCAAGTTCTTACCGCCCTGCTTGTTTGGTAGCATGGACCAATGCCTACAGAAGACGTTAGACCCAATTAGTTCAACGGAATCGCCAGCCATGCTATTCATATATGAGAATGCTTGGAAAGGGGCACAGGCGCAGAAAGGTATAATGCAGCATGAGGTTCTATGGGCACAGTACCGCGTCTTGTTGTTCCGATGGCTGCGTCTAAGGTTTTCATTAGCTGCTGCTCCTCGAGAGAGCATGTCATCCATGGGACGAACCTCCGAGCTCCTGCTCCTCGAGACCATCGACTGCCATGTGCATGTCCAAGAGGACATTGACCCTGTCAGAAACAAGGATTCGATCATGCACCGCGGTCAGGCCCTCTGAGCTATGTTAGACATTCTGATGCACCAGAAACTGTGATTTCGTGCAACATACTCTCTTCAAGCTCCTTGAGCTCGCTGAAGAAGGTTGGGCTGGAGGGACCGAGTCAGTCTTGTTGGCCTGTTTATTTGAGAGGCGCGAGCCAGGCGAGACATCAATAAGATGCCTATCTACCAATCCATCGGCCCACAGTCGGAGGTTTTGGGATGACGTACATGTGAAAGACCACACCGGAGCCGATGAAGTTCATGCACCGCGGATTCATGAGGCCGGAGGGCAAGAGGTGGAAGCTTGTACAAGTCAGTAGCCATCCACAGCTTCGGCGCCGGCCCGTTCTTTACCTGTAGGAGACTCCATCCACCCTTTGACTCGTTAGCAAATAACAACTGTACCAATTGATCTACCGAGGGCTTTCAACGAACTTGATCAAGTGACCTGAAACCGTCCTACCAGTCAGCGCTGGCCTCCCATTGAGGCTGCTTTAGAGAACCGCCTCGCGACATGTAGACTGACCTGCGTTGGATCCGCCCTTGGGGGTCGTTAGCAGGTATTCCACCCGGAGATAGTCGATTGTGAAGGGATCATGGAAGCCGTCGGCGGGATTGTTGCCTTCGTTGAACTTACAGCAGCTCGGCAACAGAGTTGCGCCTCCCGGGCCTGGATATCAACCAGCTTTCCCTTCTGAACACACAGGAGCGTTAATTGCCGGATGTCGGACCAAATTGGGTTCGAATCGAGGACTTACGCCTTCGTCACCTATGAGGTCATTGTCAGTGTCATGAGAGCCAACCGATATCGGCCAGGCGCAAAGGAAGGATGTATTCCAGGCAAGGCAGGCAAGGAAGACCTACCCCATTGGGCCCCGAGAATGACATTGATAGTCATTTTGCGTGATATCGAGATTGATTGTCGTTGGTGCCGTCGTTGTGGTCGAAGTGAACAAAAGACGATATGCAATCAGATTTTAATGGACGCGGCTGCTAAGATGAGCGATTTCAGTCTTCGTGCGAATACGCTTTTCGGGTATATGTAAATACCCCTAGTGCTTACTAAACCATCCCCGTTTAAGCCCGTTGAGTGGTAGTTTCAAAGGCTTAGTTACATAACAGAGTCATCCCCAGTGATAAGAGTCATCATTCAAATGTCACCGGAAGCTTCGTAGCGTTCCTGATTTTGCCGAGGAGACGCGATCGCATCAACACGTCAAAACGTCGGAAGTTAATGTGGCGCAAAACGGCACAGTCTATGGGATTGTGTCTAGAGAAACGGTGCGTGCGTCGCACAATCTGGTACCCGCTGGGTGCTGTGAAGGGTACGCTGGCGCTACATGCCATGACAAGTAAGCCCAGCACGATCGGGCGAGGGACCGGGGCGAGGACGGGTCTGCGGACGTCGTGTCCTTCACCGTAATATGACCAAACCGAGGATAGACTTTATGCTGAAATTTATGCAAGAGTGGGTGGCTAGGTTGTGCATGCTGAGCCACCAACCTCAACTCAGGGTCGGCTCAGGCTAAAAGCAGCAAGGCTCCGGAGTGCATCCAGGTACGTATTTACCTGGTTCGAATGGCTGTCCCTCCCTGGTAAGCACCCAAGCACCCAAAGCAGGCTTGGGGGACCTACTTGTCTGCCTCAAGGTGAAGTGTCTAGGTGATCATATTTGATAGCTAATGTGCGCATCAGTATTTACGTACATGTAGGTAGGCATCCAGGATGCACCGCAAAAGAGGCAGCAGCGACGGAGTTCAAAACCTTGTCATTCATCCTGGGCGGCTGCAACGCCGCATCCTGAGCCTGATGTTCGCCCTTGCTACCTGCGGTGCCATGCGCGAAAGAGAAGGATAGGCGACAACACAAATATCAACGAATGGAGACGGGCAGCGTACGCAAGGGCGAGCTTTGGACAGGAAGACAGGAGGGTCCTGTGGTGAGGGTGTGGGGCCCTGCGCTTTCCCATGTTGCCATCCTGCCACCTATCGATGCGACCCCTGCAGGATCATGTACCTTTGCTGCTGTCGACTGCACAGGAGCTACTTCGCTTCAGGCACCCCATGTAAAAACACCCGCCTGTTCCTGCCACCGCCACGCGCTATGCCTGCGCAAGCAATCAGGGCCCGGCAGGGTATTAGCTTCGAGCAAGAGCCGAGTCTGGGCACGTGATACCGCGTCTGGTGGGGCCTCTCGACATCCTGTTGACTAGTGCCTCGACGCGGCTTCTTGAATGGTCTGGACTCGGGATCGTGTCATCACCACGATCTGTCTGCCGCTCCTTCGTTTGGTTTTTCACTTGATCTTTGGTTTTGGCTCGTGGCTTTCCAGCGTCGATCTTTGTTTTGGAATCCATTGAGAAAACATTGACTGCAGTCTTTGCTTATTATGGCTGGTAACGGCATCTGGCACAAAACGTCTGTCCAGGCCGCACAGGAGACGAAGCATACGTATTCCAAGGCCACCCTACCCGGGCAAAAGCGCAGTTATTCGGACGTTGAACCGTCAGCAGGGTTTCCGTGTCCCATTATCCCAAGCCGATCGGCAACAGCGCAACTTTCTGTTGGGAAACCGGCTGGTTCTCCACGGCTCTCCGCCAGCCCCATCACAACCCTCGCTGCTGCGCATAGGAACCGAGGGCTCTCTGAGTACTCCCAGCGACGGACCATCCAAGCGACCCCTTCTTCATCCGTAGATCCCTTTCTTTCCCTCGCCCACACCGTCTATGGCCTCCCACGGCCGCTGATCCATAACTTCGCCAAGCTTGGCATTCACAGTATCTACCCTTGGCAGAAGGCATGCCTGCTCGGCCCCGGTCTCCTCATTGGCGAGAAGAACCTCATCTACAGCGCGCCCACTGGGGGCGGCAAGTCTCTGGTGGCCGACGTGCTCATGCTGAAGCGGGTCCTCGAAGATAAAGATGCAAAAGCCATCCTGGTCCTTCCCTATGTTGCTCTTGTCCAGGAGAAGGTCCGTTGGTTGCGCCATATAGTAGATGGCCTGGCCAAGGTGAATGCTCCCCCTCCCGTAGATGAAGCGAATCGGCTTTGGCGGCGGAGGGCCGACGAAAATACTATACGCGTCGTTGGCTTCTTCGGTGGCGGCAAGGTGCAGTCAACTTGGGCGGACTTTGACATTGGAGTTTGCACTATTGAGAAGGTAAAGTGACCACACAAGCATCAGGTCCTGGCCAGGTCTGACTCGCCACAGGCAAATGCCATGATCAACACGGCTATCGACGATTGCTCGATCAAGCACCTCAGAATTGTGGTATTGGATGAATTGCACATGATTGACGACGACCATCGGGCTATCTGATGAGCTTATGGCTACTAAATTGATATCCCTTCCTCAGTCGATGCAGGTTGTCGGCATGAGCGCAACTCTCTCTGTGAGTTACCGCGGCACGTACTGTGCTTAAAAGGGGTGGAGGACTGATCTGGCGCCACAGAATATCAGGTTGCTATCGACCTGGCTCGATGGTCATTCCTACGAGACCAAGTACCGGCCCGTACCCGTCGAGGAACATCTCGTCTACGAAAGCCATGTATACCCTGCTGCCACCACGAGCGAGTTGCTCAAGACAGCGAATCAGTTGAAGAATGTTTCTCAGCCCACACAGTCCGAGGCCATGGCTATCAGGCGTATAGAGCCATCAGTTCATCGAGAGCTCAAAGACCCAGTAGTCAATTCGGTAGTAGCTCTAGCGGCCGAAACCGCTAGAGCAGGATACGGCGCATTGGTCTTCGCCGGAAGCCGGGGTGCTTGCGAGACGGATGCCAAGCTAATCGCCCGAGTGTTGCCCCAGCAAGAAGAGGTTGAGCCCACCCTATTTGACAAGAGAGTCGGCTTGCTTGCCGAACTGCGGAGCTTGAGCACTGGTCTTGATGCGGCGCTCGAAGAGACTATACCTTCAGGAGTAGCATTCCACCGTCAGTTCCGATACCAACCTGGTGTTGCATGACTCTTCTGACTGGTCTCACAGATGTCGGTTTCCATTACACCGCGCCTCGCTCATCTACTTACCTTGCCTAGGCAGGACTCACTACGGAAGAACGCGAACTGATCGCCAATGCTTATGATATGGGCGTTCTAAAGGTTTGCGTTGCAACGTGCAGTCTTGCTGCCGGGATCAACTTGTAAGTTACCGTCAGACAGACATGTGGTAGTCATTGCTTAACATTAATAAGGCCTGCTCGCCGTGTAATTCTTCACAATGCGCGAATGGGCCGCGACTTTGTCGGTCCCTCTATGCTCCGACAAATGCGTGGTCGAGCCGGACGAAAAGGGAAAGACGAAGTCGGCGAAACGTACTTGTGTTGTCGGAAAGATGACCTGGAACAAGTCGTTGATCTGATGCACTCCGAGATGCCACAGCTCACGAGTGGCCTCAACAGTGACAAGCAGCGCATTCAGAGGTCGGTCACCACTATAAAACCGTGTACCCATACTGACAATGCCCAGAGCGTTACTAGAAGTTATCGCCATACGTTTGGCCACAAGTCGCGATTCAATCGACGACTATGCGGCGAAGACGCTACTTGCCTGCACAGGCGATCTCGCACTCGTCCGAAAGTGTGTCCAAAGCAGTTTGGACAACCTCCTCTCTCTCAACTTTGTCGAAGTCGACGGGCTGGATGGTTTTCGTCCGACACAACTGGGCAAGGCCATTGTAGCATCAGCTTTGGACCCTGATGATGGAACGTTTATCCACAAGGAACTACAACGTGCGCTAAAGGCATTCGTTATGGATGGTGAGATGCATATCCTCTACATGTTTACCCCTGTTCAGGACTACGGCACAAACATCAACTGGCAAGTATTTCGCAACGAGATGGAGGCGCTTGATGACAGCGGTCATCGTGTTCTCGGGTTCCTAGGCCTCAAGCGTGCTGTGATCAACCGGTTGTGAGTGTACACTGTGTGCAAAGCCATTGCACGAGCTAACAAGTTTCTAGAGCGCAAGGTGGCGTGCTGAAGGAATCAACAGCCGAAGAACAAGATGTAATTCGTGTGCATCGCAGGTTTTACATGGCCTTACAACTACGAGACCTCTGTAATGAGATGCCGATCCATGTTGTTGCTCGCAAATATGATGTGCACCGAGGCGCTGTGCAGACGCTCTCCCAAACATGCACCGGCTTCGCTGCTGGTATGATCAAGTTTTGCGAGCAAATGGGATGGGGGTAAGACGAGCACGCCGTCATCAAATGGGATTCATGACTGATCGAACCGCTGACTGATACGTCTCACAGCATCATGTCCGCAGCGCTCGACCATTTCTCCGACCGCCTGAGAGCCGGTGCCAGGGCAGACCTGCTGGCGCTGGCCAAGATAACCTTTATTAAAAGTCGAACGGCGTGAGTTGAAGGCGCATCCGCAAACTGCGTACTTGTCTAGCTCATAGGAGAACAGGCGAATTTTCTGGGAGAGCGGCTACCGGAGTATCGCGGCGGTCGCGAACGCGGACCCGCGGGAGTTGGTGCCCATTCTTCTACAGGCAAGTGCACAAACCCCTGTCCTTAGTGCAAACCGCGTGCTGACCTCCTCAGGCCCAACCAAGCAAGGTGCGAATCAAGGCTCAGGATAGCTCTCAGTATGAAGAGAAGATGATGGCCAAGGCCCAAGTCATCTCAAATTCGGCAAACCGATTGTGGCGTAGGCGAAAAGTACACGATCTAAAATCCCCACCACAGCTAACGCTCGAATAGAAATAGAGATGCAACACGACGTCTACGAAGAGTGAGGAACTAGGGATGCTTTGTGAGGCCGCCGTAGGCAGCCAGTGTATTCACGAGGCGGCAGCAGAGCCCGGACTTGGCAGCCACCTGAGCAAGGCGGCTCCAAGCGGATTTCTGGCCTCTCAGTATGCATGCATGCTTTTGCACCCACCAATAAAATGAGCCTAATCACAGGCTCTGTTCCCCGTCAGCGCAGACTGGGTACGGTGCAACTGAATAGTGACATTGGGAAGACAATGATGGCAGATACCAATGTCCCCCAGGGACAGAGTCCAGGTTGCTTATGTGCGTGGCACAAGTCAGGACTGAAGGTGAGATGGCCGACAGTACTTGTTGATGCAATGGCAAACTTGGCCATGGGATTCCTAGATTCACAAACTACGAGAGAAAGCTCGGACGAGGTTCGAATGCCAGTCGGCTGCTGCTAGGTCGCCTCACATCATAGCCTGTCAAGAATGGCCACTGCGTGATGACGCCTGTGATACGATGCAGCACAGCGCAGGCGTAGGAAGTGCCTGGCCGTCGAAGGTCTCTACGCAACACGACAGGAGTGGCAGCTTTCCTAGCTCTGAATGCAATGGTTGCACTACATTATGCGCATGATCAAGAGCGAAGAGGGTCGACTCCAGGCCTTTGCCATCCACTTAAGTCTGTCTGTCCGCCTCGTCTGCCTGGAGAACGGACCGGGCGGCTGGTCAATGGCTGCAAGGCCTTACTCCGCCGCTTGGAGTTTTACAGCCACCAGCTGACTGCACACCATCAAGTCTGCCTCGGCCACTCGCCAATTGGCTCTTGAGGTGTGGCATGCGTCTCAAGGTCGCGTGGCTGCCTGTGACCTTTTCTAACTCAAGTATCGCTCTGCTGGCCAGGACTTTGTGCCCAATCTTCTTTCCCTCTGCATTTTGCGTGTTCACATCTCTTACCCTCGACCGGCGCAACACCAAAACGGTGCGCTTCGGGGTTCTTGATAACCCCTGTCCTTACCAAACAGACCAACCTGCCACGACGACTTGGATTCTATTTCGTTGACCTCATGAGGATTTCCACCGCCATGTCGAGCCAGCCAAACCGCAACGGCGAAGGAAGCAGCACCGGTGCCAGCGCAGAGCGGACATTAGACGATACAATGAGGGCGCCCACAAGTACGACGCCAGATGTCGTTGTTCTCGAGCACGCGCACAATGAAAAGAAGGCAAAAGATGCACCGAACTTGCGCGAGGACTTCTGGCTGTCGTCTTCGGATGGACGCTACAACTCACCCATCATTCCGCTTCGGGTCGGCCAGGCACCCGGCATGGAGATATTTCATGTCCATAAGGATGTCTTGCTCACGAGCGAGTATTTCAGGAAGGCATTGTGTGGAAACTTCCGAGAAGCTGACGCACAGTCGATGGATCTTCCTGAAGAAGACCCTGCCATCTTTCATTTCGTCGTCGCGTTCCTGTATCAGCAAACCTTCGTGCCCATCCGGGCTGTCGCTTCGGTGCTGCGACCAGAGACAGGAGGGGGTAAGGAGAGAGATGATGGGGTCCGTGGGTTTGAGGACCCCTCGAGCTCATCTGATTCGGAAGAAAGCGCTGCCGTG